AGGGAAGTCCCTCGTGTCTCCCCTTAGAGGGCATCGAGTCTCAGCCCATCAGGCAGGAGCCTCTTCAAGGCATCTTGACGCCTTTATGATGAAATGCAAGAGGCCCATCCCTAAAACCATAACTCTGTGTCACACAGGAACCTCAGCATTAGATCAGGTCACACACCTCTAGAAACAAGAGGGTTATGTGGTCACGCGTCCAAGGGAGACATGGCCTTTGCCCTCAAGGAACTTAAATAGTGTGTGACAGCATTTGATTAAATACTAACAGGTAGTCATTCAGCAAACACATATTAGTACCTGCTGGTGCCAGAAGCAGCTCTAGAGGCTGGGGATACTGTGATGAATAAGACAGGCAGCCCATGAGTTGTGGCGCATACGAGCTGCTGAGGGAGGGAGATGTGGAGCAAGTAACACCACACGAGGGGGACTGGGGGCCTTTAACAGGAGCTGATGTGGCAGAGGGGGTGAGGGATGTCCGGCTGCGCCTGAAGGATGAGAAAGAGCCAGCCGCGGTAAGTGGCTGCAGCTGTGTGGAGGAGGGGGGTCTCCAAGCAGCTCAGGGCTGGGGTGGGCTTCCCGCAGGAGCTGATTTATGCTGGGCTTGAAGAGCGAGTCAGCCTTGAGGAAGCAGAGGGGGCAGAGGAGTGAGGCCATCAGTCTGGCTGCTCTGGCCTCAGGATCCTGTGAGAGGGAAGTAAGGGGAGAGGCGAGGATGAATCTGAGTGGCTGGCAGGGATCCACGTGGAAATGGCCGGGAGGGCACTTTCAAGTTAGAAATGGGGAGCTCAGGTACAGGTGAGACGGGGGTGAAACTCAAGTCTCCTGAAGAGGAAACTATGGAGAAGGAAGACTGGGCGGAGAAAGGGAGCCAGGCTGGAGGACAGGAGACATCAGAGCACGTTCTGTAGAAGCTCAGAGAATGGTTCTCAAGGAGGGGAGGGAGGAGTGGCTCTTCTGTGCCAAGTGTTAATGAAGCTTCTAGAGCTCTGAGAATTGGGCAGGGAGCACAGGATCATCCAGGTAAAGAGGGAGCATTCGCAATGCGTTGCCCTGGTCACCCCGCCTCTCCCAGAAGCTTACCGTTTCTCACCTTCCTGGCCAAAAACATCCCCCGAGGCCCCAACAGCGGGTCTGCAGCAGCCGGCCATCCCTGTGCCGTCAGAGGGAAGAAGCCCAGCTCCTCTGCCTGGAATCAGTGGCCGCCCATCCTGGGCAACTGACTCATGGTGCAAAGACAGCATCGCCTTCGAGCTGCAGAGATGAAAGCGGCCACAGCCACTGAGGGTAGGCAGGTGGTGGGTGAGCAGGCAGGGGCAGGCCCGCCTGACATCTGAGCACTTAGGAAGCTCCTCCCTTACGCCTCCCAGGTGGAAGGCACCTCTCCCATGCAGCTTCCTGCAGGAGTGGGAGGAAGCCTCTCTGTTTCAATGAAGCCCAGCCCTGGAGAAAGCTGTGCTCCTTTTGGGAGAAGAGGACCCTTCAAGTATTGCTGACTGCAGGCCCCAGGACCTGCCCCCACTGCTGCTTTGGGCTGGGCCTCAGCGAGGGGTTCTAGCCACTGGGGCTTGGGCCATGTCCAGGGAGCAGTGAGGAGGCTCCAGAAACCAAGGTGCAACCAACTTGATCCAGGAACACCTGTGCCACCTACCCCCATTAACTTTTTGTATTAGCTTTTCCCTCCTCAGGCCTTCCTGCATCCCTGCCCTGATAGAAAGGTATAAAGTTCAGGGGCGGTGTGATTGGGAGAGGAATGAATGGGTGGGAATGGATACAGCTAGAAGGGAGGCAGCTGTGAGGAAGCAGACAGAGTTTGGAGTCAGGTGGGCTATTCTGAGCAATTCACCTTTCTTCTTGGAGCCTTAATTTTCTCATCAGCAACATGGAATTAAGCGTATTACAAGGCCAACACATTTCAGAGGACTGTCGTGAGTAAACGAGGGAAGGAACGAACTTTCCAAACTGTCAAAATTAAGCATTGGTGGTTACCATGACCACCGTTGCATCAGGAGTGCTCAGTGTGAAGTCCACGGAGCCCAGTTTGGGGTGGGGGTGGTCTGTGGAGTGCCTGAAATAATGTGTAAAAATGCATGTGGGGCATCTTTCTGGGGTGAGGATCCATGGCTCTCGTCAGCTTTTTTTTTTTTTTTTTTGTGGTACGCGGGCCTCTCACTGTTGTGGCCTCTCCTGTTGCGGAGCACAGGCTCCGGACGCGCAGGCTCAGCGGCCATGGCTCACGGGCCTAGCTGCTCCGCGGCACGTGGGATCTTCCCGGACCGGGGCACGAACCCATGTCCCCTGCATCGGCAGGCAGACTCTCAACCACTGCGCCACCAGGGAAGCCCTCCCCATCACTTTTGAGATGAGTTAGCCGAGACCCAAGGTCACACAGCTTGTCAGAGGCAAGGCCAGATGTGGGACCCTGATGCCCCAACCCTCCGCTCCCGCTGCCCCTTCCTTGTCAGGCGAGGGGAAAGAAGAGTTAGGAGGGAACAGGGGTGGGGCTGGGGGTGGAGGAGCAGCCAGAGGCAGGGCCCTGTCCTCACTGTTACCAGATGAGGGCCTCGCAGTACAGGGCAGGGGACGCTGAGAGACAGAACAGGGAGCCCCAGGATGGGAGAGGGAGGCCCTTCCTGGAAGCACAAGTTGCTGAATAAGTGAGTCGTCCTCCCAGCCTCCCTTTCCCAACAACCCCCCACAAAAGGCTCAGACACAGGAAACACAAGGAACGCACTCCCTCACACTGTCTTGAGACGACCTCTGGTTCTCAGTTTCCTCTTCTGGGAAATTTAAAGATGCCACGTCAAAGCTTTACGGAAAACCGTGAAGGGCCACATGCCAACGTAAGGTAGTCATCACCCAAAGATGGAGCTTCCTGAGCGACTCCTGAGTACCAGACACGTGCTGGATGCTTGGCCTAAATCGGCATAAACGTCACCCCTTCAAGAGGCCTCCCCTGACCAGCCAGTCAAAGTAAATCCACCTCTCTCTCCCACCCTCTAGTTATTCTCATAGTGTCTGTTCCTTCCCTTCCTACCACTTATTATAATAGAGGCTGTTTCTGTGCATTCCTTCCATCCTCTCTCCTCCACGAGACTACTGTCTTGCCATGGACAGGAGGCATGTCAGTGTGTTGATGGCTGTATATCCGTACTAAGCACAGCGCCTGCCATCTAGTAGTCACTCAAATCCTTGTTAAATGAACGCATGACTGTCTCTAGTCTTCACAACAGCCTTATGAGGTAGGTTATCAAGCTCACTGTACAGAAGAAGAAACTGAGGTTCAGAGAGTCAGAGACTTGCTTAAGGGCACAGTTTGTTATCACCAGACTTCAGCTCTGCTCCTTCCCCTTGAAGGACTTGGAGAATGAGAAGACCTAAGGGTCAGAGAGAGAGTTGGGTCCAGCATAATGGCTCCAGTTCAGCCACCACCCTGTGCTCAGCCTTCCCCCGCTGAGCTCCCCCAACCTCTGATCATATCCCAGTAGCTCCCAGTCATCAATCCATAGCCACAGAGCTGGAGGCCATCCAAACTGGCCTGTTTATTTCCCAAGCCAAGAGCGAATCAGTCCTTCCCTGCCCACCCCAGAGCAAGATACAGTTGGGAATCCACACCCCACCCCTCAAACCTTAACACAGCAGATAAATTAGTGAACTCTTTTATAAAACATTGTACAGGGAAAATACATACATATATATAGAGCCAGTGCTGGCACTGGGGTGGGGTTAGCTTCTTAGACACAGGTAACCGGATCCTGCCCCATCAGGGTGCCCACCCACCCCTGCACTCTCTTTCCCTAAAGTGGTCATCTGCTATCCCCACACCCCAGTACCCTGGCTGGTTAGCACAAATCATAGAGGTCCATCATCGTGCCCCCAAAGGGAACTGCTTCCTGGCTGCCCCTACCAGCCTGCTCCTCTGAGGTGGGCACCCCCTGCCCCTCCTCCTTACCCAGGTAGCCTTCCTTGGCCTGGCCCCAGGAATTCGGCCCACCAAGACCTGAAGACAGAAGATTGACCAAAGAATATTGTTTCCTGATATGTCTGGTGAGCATATATTATCTAAACCAGGACTTTTTTGAAAGTGGAAGGGGTTCTCACTCACTGGAAAACAGGCATAAACCCAGACTTCCCAGCAAAGTACAAATGGTCACCCTACCGATAGGGCTCCCCTCCTCTGAACTGGCCCAGTCCTGCCACTCTTGACTTTCCAAAACACGTTCCATACTTGGAGCAAACTCCTCTCAGACCTCTATTCCCATCTCTATCACCTTCTACTCTACAAGGCCTTCTGGCATCTTGGTTACACATTCTAAGGCCTCAGTAATATTGGAGACCTGTAGTATTGGGGTTGGGAGGGGTGGTTGGGAATGATGCCCCTCCAAATCCCATACAGGACCTGGCCAGGTAAGGCCTTTGGTGTCAAGCCCCAGGCTTTCTGGCTCCTTGGGCCTGATCCCCCAAATCATGGCTGCCTGGGTCTGAATAGAAAAGCAAGCCTTAATCCTCTGTCTTCCATCCCAAACCTGCCACGTCTTCTCTCTCTAGGCCTTTCTGTAGCTCAGGGCCAGGGAGAAATGAACCCCCAGTACCCCTATCCCCACCCTTGGTCAATGCAAAGCACTTTGTTCCAGTACCTTCTCTACATGTTATGTATGCATATTCCTGCTCACACCTCAGTGTGGCTTCTATGCTAGGAACCCCAGGTGTCGCCTCTGGGAGTGGCAACTGGTGGACTGGTGGAGGCTGAGGAGGTCAACCTGTAGCACCCTGCACCCCCAACCCAGATAGGGCTGGGCCTCAGCCCCTCATGAGGGCCTGACCAGCAGTCACAGCCATCCTGATGGGTTCCCTTCTGAGTGAGCGCTCCAGCCCTTGCTTTTAGAACCTGCTCGGTAGGCTTGCTTGGAAAACTGCTTTCAATAAGCCTTGCTAAAGCAAATAGTACCAGACAGTGAAAACTCAGGCTCCAGCTCCTTAAAGGTCCCTCCTCTCCTCCCTCCTTCCCCCTCCCACCCCCATCTGCAGACAGTCCACAGCCACACCAGTGCTTTGGGAAACAGAAGTTCAGTCTTACTGGGCCCACTGCTTCACTCATTGTCCCCCTGTCTGTCTTTGGGAAACAGACTCCTCTGTGTCTCAGTGAGGCTACTTAACACCTGCTGCGTCCCTCCCACCCCCACAAAAACAAGTGCCTGGATCCGACCCCTTGGAGAGGAACTGAGAAAACCCTGGGCTCAGGATGGGGCCTTCCGATGGGCCCCCGAGTAGGCATAGGAGATGGGATGGTGGGTCCCAGGCCTCACGGTGAATGTGTTGATGGAGCTTCCATAGTGGGGGTTGCTGTGGGGAGACCTGGTGGGGAGCAGGAGAGAGATGAGGTTAATATCTGGTTAACCAACACCCCTTCCATCTCCCCCAGGGCACAAGAGGAAGGACGTGGCTCAGTGCGATGGAGCTGCCCCACAAGCTCAGGGCTCACCATCCCCAGAGTGGGACCCCAGTATTGACTCACCAGATACAGGGCTTCCCTCCTGTCTAGGCCCTGATGCCAGAGTACATGCCTCATACCCTTCCGCTCAGAACCCGTCCCTCCTAGCCTGGCTCTGGACGCGTCTCTGTGATGGGAAATCCCAGCACCCAAGGACCACTCAGGTCTCCCCCCACCCCGCGCTGGGGCTCCAGGGAGTGGGAGAGAGGAGAGAGAAGAGGGAGCTGGTGGGGAAAGCAGGAGGAGGGGGAAAGAGAAAACAAAGGAGATAACGGGATATAAGGAAGCAGATAAAGGAAGCGCCAAAGGCGCCCTCTCCAGGCGAAGTGTGCCTCCCTCCCCCTTCTCTCTGCCCTGAGAGCCAGAGGGGAGAAAACCAAATGTCCCAGACTGATGGCCGTGGCCTGGCCAGCTCCTCCGTGGTCCAGGGGAGAGCCTCCCTCTCCCCTGGCTTCCCAGCCCAGGCTCCCGCCATCACCCTGGCCCGCAACTCACCTGCGGGTAGCTGGGGCGCAGCCGCAGTTGCCGCAGTTGCCGCCGCTGCCGCCGCCGGGCGCTTTGTACTTGGCCTCTCCGCGGAGGCCGCCCTCCAGGGGCATATTCCACGCGTGCAGGCCGGCGAGGGGCGCGCGGCCCGTCGAGCTGACGCGCCGCATCTCCAGGCCTCCGGGCGCTGCGAAAGGTCCTCTGGGATGTGGCCCGAAGCAGCTAGGGGAGGTCGGGCTGCGGCCAGTGCCGCCCCGGGGCAGCCTGGGGCTGCGGTGGGTCTCCTCGACGACGTACATGCGCTTCTTGATAAGCGAACGGGCCCCGCCCGAGAAACGGTCCAGGCCTCTGGCGGCCCCGGCGGGGCCCGCACTGGCGGAAAAGCGCGAGGAGCCGTGAGCGGGGCCCGCGTCCGCGAGCTGCCCCAAGTCTGAGAAGTTGTTCTGGTGAGGGGAGCTCCGGCGCCCCAGATACTGCAGGGCGCGGGGCGGGGGCTCAGGGTAATTGCTGAATTCTGGTGGCGGTGGGATGACCTCAAGGTTGAACTCCTCCTCCCTCTTGTGGGAAGGAGAAGGAGGGGAAGAGGAGGACTTGGGCAGCAGGCGGCCCTGGGGGAGGCTGGAGGGCACTGGTCTTTCCCAAGCCACGGGGGCCTGCGGCTCCGTCTTTGTCCAGCTGTACCCGCGGCTGGGCTCCGTGCCCTCTGGGTCTCTGCGGGGCTGGGGCTTCCACTGACTGGGTACCTTGGGCTGTCCTGGCAAGGTTAGCTGGGGGTCCTTCTCAGTCTCCTTGGGTACCTTGGGGACCACTGTGAAGGAGTTGGGCTGGCCGTCGTTGTAGAAGATGGTGTCAGAGCCTGCCCCGGGCTGGCTGTGGCCACAGAGACTCCCTGGCAGGGAGGACTGGCCCAGGGCAGCCCCTCTGGACCTCCCCTTCTGTGCCCTCTGCCTGGCTGCAAGGAGCAGAGCCATCGGGGAGCCCTGCTCCACCACCTGCCCTGTCACTGGATGCCTGAGGAGTTCCTCAGCAGGCTGGGCTGAGGCAGGGGGGTTGGCTGGCAGCTTCCGGGGCTCCTTCACCTCCACAGGCTCCCATGACCCTACAGCCTCTCCTCTGGACAGGATGGGCGTCACCACGGCCAGATCTCTGCTGGGGATGTTCTGGCTGCGATGGGGCTTATAGAGAAATGGCACCTCTTCTCGGCCAGGGGATATCTTTGCGGGGAGGGCTGGAGATGAGAGGGCTCCCTGTGTAGGCTTACTGGTCTCTGAGGAGCGCCCTCCTGCCTCTGGCTTGGAGGGCACTGCAACTTCTTGAGGTTCTGGCTTCTCCCGCTGCCCAGCTGGGACTAGGTTCTTCTCTGCTATCAGTCGGGATGATGTGGTGGGCAGAGGTGTGGCCTTGAGTGGTGTGGCTGGTCCAGGTGTGGCTGGCTCAGGTGTGGCCTTGGGTGGTGTGGCTGGTCCAGGTGTGGCTGGCTCAGGTGTGGCCTTGGGTGGTGTGGCTGGTCCAGGTGTGGCTGGCTCAGGTGTGGCC